GACAAAGAGGATGACAACACTAGGAGCCTATCCAGAATGATTCTATCTTGCATTAGAAGAAATTAAATGCAAAGGGGGAGAATCCAACAGAAAAAAAAAGTCATGACAATAAGTCAATACATATCAGTTATAACCATCAGTGTTAATGATCTCAATTCACCAATCAAAAGAAATAGACTGGCAGAATGGGTCAAGAAGCAAGAGCCAACAATATGCTGCATATCAAAACCACCTAATGCAAAAAGAAACACATAGACTGAAAGTTAAAGGGTGGAAAACAATACTACATATGACAGGACCCCCCCAAAAAGCAGGAGTAGCTATCCTCTTTGCAGATCAAGTGGATTTAAAACCAACACTGATTAAGAGAGACAAAGAAGGACACTACAGCCTTGTAAAGGGAGGAAGAGATTACACTCATAAATATATATGCACCAAACAATGGTGTGCCCAACTATGTAAAACACATGCTAAAGGATGTGGAAAATCAAATAAGCACTAACACAATAGTAGTGGGGGACCTCATTACCCCACTGTCACAAATAGATAGATCAACCGGACCAATAAAGAGCAATGAAATACTAGCACTCAATCAAACTCTTGAACAAATGAACTTAACAGATGTTTACAGAGTCTTCCACCCCACAAAATCAAAATACACATTCTTTTCAGCTGCATATGGGTTGTTCTCCAAAATAGACCACATATTTGCTCATAGAACATATTTAAGTAAGTAAAAAGGAATTTAAGTTGTCCCTTGTATATTATCAGACCATAGTGTGATGAAATTGGAGATCAATAGCAAAAGAAATCACAAGAATTTCATAAACACATGGGAACTGAACAACACACTTCTGAATAACCAATGGGTCACAGAGAAAATTAAAGAAGAAATCAGATAGTTCCTACAATTTTTTCCTTAAATTCTTTTATTGGTACATTCTAGGTATAAAATACATTTACATTTATCCCTGGGAACTTGCATCTTTATATGATGTATCTTGGTTCTTATTTTTTCCCCATTCCCTTCCCTCCCTTCACCCCCTCCACCCTTCCCTATTTATAAAGACTTTGTTTCCTTTTTTTCCATTTCTCATAATTTTTCCTTTCCCTTCTTTCCCTTTCCCTACCTCTCCCACTTCCTCTACCCCTTTAGACCTTTCCTTCCTATTTAGCATTATCAATTATTCATTTTAATCATTGGAACATTTTAGGTATACAATATAATGACATTCATCATTGGAAATTTGTACCTTTACATAATCTCTCTTCGTTCTTATTTTTCCCCATTCCTGTGCCTTCCCTTCAACCCCTCCAATCCCTCCCTATTTACAAAGACTTTGTTTCCAGTTTTTCATTTTCTCATATTAATTCCATTCCCTTCTTTCCTTTCCCCTACCCCTCCCACTTCCCCTTCCCCTTTGCCCCTTTTCTTCCTAT